TCAATTTTGAACAAATTTTGCTAATACATCATTCATATTAATCGAATGGTTCAAAAGTTATGGAACATGTATCAAAGGAATGCACTTGTCCAAATATAGAAAATATTTCTATAAATATCGAACTATAATATAAGTTTGTTATATAGTGGTACACTATAAACTTCTTAGGAAAATGATTTTTTATAAATTTTGCAAATTTCCAAAATTATTGAATTTTTTTTGATAGTTACACTATAAGTATAGTAACATTTGTGTAAAGTTTTATAGTCACAACTAGCTCAGATTTGTTGCAAAATTTATCAAAATTTTACCATCAATATTTTTACTTCAAAGTCTTCTATTTACTTAAATTTCTTCGAGTGCTTGTTATGTAAATAAACTACTCAAATAAAAAATCATTTAAACGAGCGTGTAATTTTTGTTTAAGTGTTATGTTTAGAATAATAACAAAATTAACTATAATCGTGTTATGAATATTGATCGAGTATTATAAACAAGTGTTATGAAACTAAACACTTGATGTATGAGGAGAGAGACAAGTGTTATATTTGAAAATTATACACTTTGAGAATTTGTTGTAAATTATATGTTGCAGATAGATGGGTGAAATTTCGCACAAATTTTGCTATAAGTATTATAAACGAGTGTAAAAGGTTTTGTTGGGATTTAGTAGTTAGTAAATTCGTTATAATTTTTTTCTTCAAAAAGTGCACTTAGCAAAACTTGTATGTTAGACTGTTATACAAAATTTTGATAATTTTTGTACAAAATCTGAGTAAGGAATCAGAATGAAATTTTGCACAGAAATTGCTGCAACTCTAGTGTATATACACAAAAAGTTTCACCAATTTTCGACAATCCACTAATTTGTGAAAAATTATAAAGTCTATGAAAATCTATAAAAAACGTATCACATTAAAGTAAATAATTTTATATTCATACATAGAGATTTGACGGCATTTTGCAAAAATTCGAAGACATCTCTGAAATTAAAATTTTGCATAAATAAGACTACAACTTTCATAAATTAAGTTTGAAAATTTTGAAAAATTATTTTTCTTAAAAGTGCACTGCTAGTTTTTTTTTCATAAAACTCCTTTATCTACCGTGAGAAATGGCCTGAAAATGCCAAAAATAGCAAAAAATCTATTCAAATTTGACATATATATCATTCCAAATAATCATCTGCATTTCTAGATTAAGTAATCATAGTTTTTTACTGAATTTTTTATCGTTTAAAACACTTTTAATTATGTAATACGAAAGTGTAATTCGTATGCGTTGTTGTGGTTTTCTCATGAAAATAATAGGATAGCTGATGGAAATAATATCTAACTGTAAGATTTTTATTTAGGACAAAAAATATTGAAAAAGGTAAGTTATAGTAACTAATATTGTTTGTGATACCATACTAATTGTATTTTTAAAATGGTTCAAAAATTTTGGTGTTCATGTTGAAATATACATAGTTTTTCTATGGTTTATATTGTTAGACTTTTAGAACAATTAATTTTGTACAATTTTTTTAATACACCAGCTATATTAATCAAATGATTTGAAAGTTACAACAGATAAAATAAATATAAACTAATTTACAACATCCTAGTCTACAAAGTTGTTGTAAAAACAGAGTTTTATTTTCTTTCACTCTCAAATATAGAAAATTGTAAAAGAAAAACACTTTTTTAGACACCTGGATTTCTTGCAAAACTATTTGAATTAATAAATATTAAGTTTTAGATTTCTTTCTTTCTCTCTTTCTTTTTCCTTTCTCTCTCCTTTCTTTTTCCTTACTCTCTTCTTTCTTTTTCCTTACTCTCTCTTTTCTTTTTCCTTACTCTTTCCTCTCTTTTTCCTTACTCTTTCCTTTCTTTTTCCTATCTCTCTTCCTTTTTTCTTTCTCTCTCATTTCTTTTCAATTTCTTCTCTCTCACTGTCTTTCTCTCTTTCCTCTCTCTTTTGTTCCTTACTCTCTTCTTTTCTACTTGTCTTTCTTTCTCCCTTTTCTCTTTAGTATTTAACAAATTAATAATAATTGTCTTTTAATTCTGAATAAATAAATACATTTTTTAATAGTCCTTGTATTCAATCTTAATGGTTAATCATAATCTCGGGTTTGTTATTTCTGTATGTATATATATATATATATATATATATATATATATTTATATATATATATATATATATATATATCTTGATATGATTTTCAGCCAGTCGTCAAAATAAAAGAAACAAATAAATGCAAATTATTTATTTAAAATATACGTTTTGACACGGATTGTGTGTCATCATTCAGCAATTCTTTGTTAACAGTATCTAAAAAAAAATGTACAAAGATTGTTTTACGCAACGACTGCAACGCCAACGAGAAACCACGTGGCACCCAGAAGGGAAGAAAGTTAATTTTCAGGGAATGTTAAACCGTAAGGACAAAAATTTGGATGAAAGATAGTTGATTTTCAGGGAATGTTACTAACTATCTTCCATCCAAATTTTTGTCTTCACGGTTTAACATTATATACTAAATGCACCGCACCGCAAAATCAATGATTTTCTTCCTCTTCCTGGTTTATTATTTTCATTACTGTTTTATTACTATTGATTAATGATCATTAACCACTCTTTATTCGTTTTTAGGTTCTTTCTGAGCCAAACTTGTGATTCCATACTTCCTGGTCCTGTGCTTCGGCTTTCAGTTCCCTGCATTTTTTTTCTCAAGTCGTCAACCATCTTAATTCTTCTTCTTCCCAATTTTTTCAGTCCTATCTTGCCTTAGATGACGAAGATAGAATATAGAATATTTTTTCTCCTAGCGACATCTATTTTTCAACTGGGCCCTATTCTTTCTCTTTCCTATTTGATATTTCGTGACTCATCTAGTTGACCTTGATTGAGAATTCAGACTCCGACGATCGTTGGTGGGGCAGTATAATGAGCGACTTGTAACGGATAACACATAATGCTAATTTAGGTTTCCATATCTTAGATTTCAAATTATAACACACTGATGATGAGACAAACCTAGTCCCGAAACGTTTGTAAAATTATTATTTAATAAATTAATGCAAGAAAGAGTGTTGTTTGTTCATATTTCTAAACCAATATATATATATATATATATATATATATATATATATATATATATTCACCAGCTCTTCGTCTAATCGTATTTTTAATCTTGATTTAGTTTTTTGTTTATTAATTCAGACTCATCATTAAGTGACTTTATGGTTTCGATGGCCTAAATAACTTTTATGGTTAATATCTAAGCACACTTTTTGTGGTTCCTAATTAATTTTATATGTTTTTTTTCTCGTACTTTACTTTTGTGTAACACAAATTGTTATTTTTAAAGATCTCTGTAAAATTCCATTGACAAGTTGCGAGAGGTATTCTGGATTAGGTAATTTAAAAAAAAAAATCAATTGTGGTATTAGATTAAATGTTTTTTTTGTGAATTTTTGGAATTTTGGAAGTCGATGAAATATTTTGTGGTTAGTCAGTATTGCTTGTAGTAGTCTTGCACTTCTTGAAGATTTTTTTTTATTCAATAACTTTTTGAAGATTGATATGAAATTTATGATGGGTTGTCAAGTAGAGATGTAGAAATAGGGACATAGGTAACCTGGTGGACAAATAGACAGGTAAAGAAGTTGACAAGTGGACAATTTAGACAGGTAGTTACAAGTTAAAGAAGTGAACTGTTAAACAACTAGTTTATATACTTCGATCGACCGATATATATCGATCATTTATACATATCGAAAAGTTCATGCAACTTGCCTTACGGCAAAATGCTACTTACACCTAGTCTAGTTCCAATTTTTTCTAAATTTTTTAAAAAATAGATGTGTGAGTTTTGTGGATTTACCCAAGTTTAGTGATATATTTTTCTAAATTTTTAAATTATTTTGTCATAATTTTATTAATATTTAAAATGTGTGTGTGCACTATAGTTGTATGATTTATTTAGACTAGTTATCGTATATATATATATATATATATATATATAACAATCCAATTAAATACCGATAACAATAAAATAAACTGTCAATAAATTTAAATAATGTGAAATTCTGCGACAGCTTCTGACATTAATGGACTTTTAATGGATCACCTTTCTTTTTATATCTTGTTATAGATTTATTGATACAGATTCAATTATATATATATATATATATATATATACAAACACACATATATAGAAATTTATGTATTTATAAATATAAATCGCACATAATTTTGCACTTGTCAAATTGTAACCGTAGACATATTTATTTTTGATATTTTTTATATTTTGTTTTTTGCAGATAAAGGTTTGATAAATTTTTTAATAATTACTAAGTATTAATATAGCTATATTTTTGAAGAATCTAGTTGTTATAGATTATGTAGATTTTTTATTAAGAATTCTAACGTAAAACTGCAGCATTGTAATTGTGGATATTTTTTATTTTTATATTTCGAAACTTAAAATTTTCTACAATAATAGGAAGTAAACGTGTCTTTGTTTGTGCAAACTTTGTTTTATTTGTTTTAATAAATTAGTTACAAAAAATAGTTAAACAATATATTAGTTAAAGAACAAATAAACCAGCAAAATACTTTGCTAAAACTTATTAAAAATTATTTTTCTCCCTATTCTCTCCTTTCTTTCTCTCTTTTTTCTTTCTTTTGTCTTTTTTCCTTTCATTTGTCTTTTTTCCTTTCTCTCTTCTTACTTTTTCACTTTCTTCTCTTTCCCTTGTCTTTCACTCTCTCATCACCCTTTTCTTCTTTACCATTTTCTCTTTCCGCTGTCTTTATCCGTCTCCTCACTCCTTTCTTTCTTTCTTTCCATTTCTTCTTTTTAATTTTCTTCTCTCTTCTCTGTCTTACTCTCTCTCTCTTATCTCTTTCTCATCTCTTCTTCCTTCCTTATTTTCTTTTTGCTCCTCTCCCCTTTTCTGCTTACTCTCTTTTCTCTCCCCCGTCTTTCTCGGTCTCGTCTCTTTTCTTCTTCACTCTCTTCTTCCTCTGCTTTCTTTCTCACTCTCTTCTCTATCTCCTTGTTTTCTCACTTTTTTCTTTCTCCCCAGTCTTTCTCTCTCGCTTCTCTTTCTCCTTTCTTTCTCACTTTTTTTCTTTCTACCCTGCGCTTTGCATTTTCTTCTCTCTCTCCTTTCTTTTTCACCTTTTTCACTTTGCCCTGGCTTTCTATTTCTCCTCTTTTTCTCCTTTCTTTTTCACCTTCTTCTCTCTCCCCTGTGTTTGGTTTTCTACTCTTTTCTTTTGTTCTCACTACTTTTTCTCTCTCCCTGTCTTTCTCTTGCTTCTCTCTCTTTTCTGTCTTTCTCTGTTTCCTCTTTTCTTTATAACTCATTCCCTTCTTCTCTCTTACCTGTTTGTCTCTCTATCCTCTCTCCATTCTTCCTTACTTTCTTCTTCTTTTTCTTTCTTTATCTCTTTCTTCCCTTTTTTCTCTCTCCTCTCACCTTTCTTTCTCTTTCCCCTCTCTACTTTTTTTTTCTCCTTTTTCTCTCCTTTCTTACTCACCTTCTTCTTTCTCCCCTGACTTCCTTTTAATCCTTATTACTTTCTTTTTTACTCTTCTTTCTCTCTCCTGATATTCTCTTTCTCTCTCTCTCTTTCTGTATCCTTCTCTGCATATATATATATATATATATATATATATATATATATATATACATGTATTGTTTATACAGGTAATATTTATTTTTTGTTTTTGTTTCCTGATGTAATCGTTCTTAATTAAGTCTGGTCAGCAATTTATAAAAAAAATTATATTGTATTATGAATATATGATCGTATTATATCACTTTCTACTTTATATATATATATATATATATATATATATATATATATATATATAATATAAAAATGCCGTGAGAGCATTTCTGACATTTAAAACAATTTCTTTTGAACTATATCAAGTGAAAACATATTATATAACTTCTCTTAAATGTTTTAAATGACAAACTAAACAGTCAAGTGCATATAAATAATAATAATAATAATAATAACTTAACTTATTAATTAACATTTTAATTAATACTCGATTAGTTAGTATAACTGTTATAATTGCAGAGTAATATACATAGGATGGTACAGGATAAAATTTGTTTTCTGTATTTTTTTATATTTTTTAAAAAGCTTGCAGGATTTTGAAATTTTTTATACTTGTTGAGTATAAATGTAGCTTTAAGTGTGCAAAATTTGGATCATGTGTATTGTTAAACATTTTGCAAAAAAATCGTAAACATTATTACTACTTTTACGTATTTATTAATATGGAAAAAATTAAGATTATTTATGAATATTATATTGTGAATATTTTAAAAAACAAACTAGAGAATCCAGATTTTTTTATAAATATTAACAATAATACCAATTTACTACATTCTTAGTTAAGATAGAGTATTAATTAGTAACTAATTAGTTTATAATAAAAATATCATTTGTTATTAAAAAAACATTGAGTTTTGGGTATTATTTAATTTTAAACAAGAACTACAAAAAAACTAAGCTTTTAATGATAAATTCTGACTTTAGTTGCAATTTTAAAGTATACCATGTTGCTCCAGAGTCCTCTAATATTAGAAAAAGTTGCTATTTTTTTTATTTGAAACAAATTTGCCTTATACACCATTTATATAAATTGAATGGTTTACGATTTATAAACTATAGAGTAAACTCATGGACATTAAATCTGATTTTGAAGTATGCCGAGTTGTTGTAGGGTTTTACAATATTAGACAATATTATAACTAAGTTAATTTTATACAAATTTGTCTCATACATCATTCATAACAATCGGATGGTTTAAAAGTTACAAGAGATATGATAAATAATACACAGTACTAAACCCAATAAAAATCGACTTAAATATTTCCTTCGTTGACTCCATAACCTCAAAACTGTGTTACTAATTTTTTCACAGATTGCATAACCGTTTCTTTTATAATTTATTACGTTTCTTATTACACGAATAATTTACAAAAAAATTACTCGCTTAAAAACTTTCTTTAAGACGCCGTCGGGACATTTTTAGTTAATAACACTCTTATGTAATTTGTACACGATATTTTTTAAATGTTGATGACACAAAAGGTAATTTATGAGAAAAATAAAAAATAGGTGTTTTTTGCAAAATTTCGAGTGTGAAATTTATGTTGCAATGTGACAAATGACTCTGAAATTGAAATTTTTTTGAAAAAGTGCCCCAAGGATTTTTCGCAAAATTATTCTTATCACCGTAAAGTTCTCATCTACTTTCATCACAGTTTTCAAAAAGTTGCAATTTTTTTTTTAATAAAATTTTTGGTAGGGGCAGTTCCAGCAATTTGCCTTTAGGCACAAGGTCATCCATGCACATAAAATATGAAAAAAATAATAATAACAATAAAATAGATTTTTGGCCCACCAACTCATACGTTTATAGACCCGTCACATAGCATTACCAGATTTCATCCGACAATTGTCACCAATATCCATCCCGCATAATACGCTTTCTCCCACCTTTAAAAAATCGTTTTAACAGGCTTTTATTGTATATTTGAATGAGTCTTTAGACTCATTATAACAGGTTTGTGTACTTCTTTTAATTGGTTCTATTATCCATCCCGCATAATACGCTTCCTCCAACTTTAAAAATTGTTTTAACGGGGTTCTACAGTATATTTCAATGACTCTTTACAGCCACTATAACCGGTTAGTGTTCTTCTTTTTCACTTTTAACTTTTTTTCTTCTAAAATCGAGGTCATTGTTGTTTGACCGAGAACGAGTGTTATGTAAAATTATTTATATACAAGAGAAACATCACAAAATCGTTGTTATAAATGTGTTTTTGACATTTAATTATGTCAAGGCTTCTGTAAGACATTTATAACACTCAATTAGAATGATATGATGAAGAGTATGATGACAAATTAGCCCGCTGTACTGTTTATAGTACTAAGTTGATGATATATGCATTTTGGTGCATGTATTTATTATATCTTTTGTAACTTTTTAACCAATCGATTAATATGAAAGGTGTATTTGACAGATTGGTACGTAATTAAATTATTGGCAATATTTTCTAATATTATAAACCTTGCAGCAACTCAGTATACTCCAAAAATTTTACTATATATACCATCGTATTATGCATCTTTGTTATTCATTTGTTTATTATAACTCTTCTACCTTCTAAACCATTTGATTAGTATGAATGATGTATTAGAGAAAATTTGTTTAGAATTAAATTATCTATAATATTGTCTAACATTATAATAACCTATACCAACTCGATATATTCTAAAATCACATTTTAAACAGACTCTCTATGTAATTGCGTTTAGTTTTAGTATGACAGCATTACTGTACATTTACTCACTATATCCCATGTAACTTTGAAACCATTCGATAAGTATGAATGATGTGTCAGACAAATTTGTTTAAAATTAAATTATCTATAAATATCTTTAATACTATAATAACCTACAGCAACTATGTATACTCTTAATAAACGAAAATGATAAATATTTATTATGATAAATTATTTTTAAGTGCATGTTTGAAGTGATATAATACATGACTTATATTAAATTTTATATACATGTATATGTATAAATATATATATATATATATATATATATATATATATATAAGTATATATAGGTATATGTATGTAATGGTCACTTCCGATTTCATATAACTTTCTCCAGACATAACATAATAATTATGTTCATCTCTTGAACTTTAACATTATTTATAAATACTTGAAATATATTTATTATATATATATATATATATATATATATATATATATATATATATATATTCTCTATATATATATATATATATATATTTATATATATATATATATATAAAATTAATATATATTATATACTTCTTATAAGTAACAAAACACCTCGTACATCTAAAATTGACACCATATTTTATTTAATTTTAATTCTAAAAGTGTAAATTGATAAAAATTTGCAATTCTACTTAATATACTTTTAATACCATCCAATTCCATGTCTACACTAAATTACCATTCTTATATATAAAAATGGAGCTCGATATTATGTTAGGTATGCTCAAACTCGAAAACGTCTGAACCGATTTGGCCAGTCTTAGTCTTGAAAAATTTGTGCTAATCCAGAGGTTGTGGGAAAGATGAGAAATTATTGGAAAAACGCATAGAAACTTTACATTTTTAGTTTAAAATTTCTTGTAGAAACTTAATTCAAAATGAAACAATAGACGACGGCGCATACGTCAAATGTCAAATGGTTTTGACAGATTAGGTTCAATTAAATTTAGTAGGATGTTTTAGATAAATATTATTTAATTGTAGTCAGTAATTCTATTTATGCGCAAAAACATTGCAAAACTGGTTACAAGTGTTATTAGAAACTTAAAATATCACATTTTTTTTAAATGTTTCAAATGACAATTTTTGGATTCTCTAGAAATTGTCTACATATACCTTATAAAGAAAAATAATAATTGCCGGATCAGCTAGTAAATATAAACAACAATAAACTAAAAAAAATATCACTCGTACTAAATACTATTAAAATAAAAGTGCAACTGTTCTGATTGCTGAAAAAAACCTAAAATGACCTAGTGCCATTTTTTTGATTATTTAAACAAAAACTAAAAATTACATATGAACAATTGACCAGTAGAACTCCGTTAAACTAATTTTGCTTAACACAATTTCTCGCATAATACGCCACATTTCACTTCAAAACATATTGCCTGTATCCAGTCTTACTTCCTTAAGAAATGCTGTTGATCCTGGAGAATTGGTTCAACAGGATTATACTGTTATATATATATATATATTATATATATATATATATATAATTATATAATAATTTATAACAATTAAATACTAATTATTATAAAACAATAGACTAATGATGCCCAAATTATAAATTTTTAGGTTACGTCTGATTTCATAATAAAACTTTCTTTAGAAATATTTAGACGCAAAGAAATTCCCAAGATGATTAAATAAAAATTTATTGTTTAAAATAATACGTATATGAATAATTAATAATAATGCATAATTGTTTATGTCGTTATAGCAAATAAATATTACATAAATCATAAAAAACTTTTTAGAAGCTCTTTAGGATAATCTTAGAAGTTTTCATAATTTTTAAATTAAAATATATTGTTTAAATAATAAATAATAAAATAATTAGTGATTTTCTACTGGAATAACAAATAAATTCTCTATAAATTATAAACAATTTTTAAGGGGCTCTTCAGGACAACCTCAGAAGATCACAAGATTTTTAAATAAAAAATTATTGTTTGAATTAATAAAAAATAAAATAATTAGTGATTTTCTGATAATAAATTCAGCATTAATCTGCAAAACATTACTTCTACTATACATATGGTGTATAATATACTTTTAAAGAGCTCGTCAGACGTTCTGAGTGCTGCAAATTTTATATGTTATACTTCAATGTGTCTACTTTGACTACAGATACTTTTTTTGATGAGATATTTTCAATTTTCTAAACAAACTGCCATTAAATCTTAAAAGCTTTTATACATGTGCAAAAAAAAATTAAAAATAGTTTTGTTTACTTTAGGATTTTGAATTTTCAATATATCCTACTTCAATATGTTTACTATGATAACAAATACTAAAATTGATGTGTGTTTTAACAAAAACTTGAAATAATAACAATTTCTTGCATAAACCACCGACTTTTGTAACAAAATTTTATTCTGTAAACGTTTTTTCCAACATCATAAAACAATAATCAATTTAGCAACATTTATACAATATATATATATATATATATATATAATAAATAAATATTTATAATGTCCTAATAATGATCTATAGTCAACTAAAAAATTATTAAATTATTCAAAAGTTACAACAAATAAATCTGTTGACCTACGCATTGGAAATTATGCGTCTCTACGCATTATTATGCAAATTCAACAAACTTAGTAATGGGATTTGGAAATTTGAATTATTAAATAATTTTATAATGTTTTGGAATCTTTGAAGATTTCATATATGCCAAATTTCCAAGAGAAAATATTTGTGCAACTTCCTGGAAATTGGAGTCAAAGATTAAGGACTCTTTGAAATTTAGAAGCTCCTAATTATGGAACTATGGAAAAATATTTGGGTTTGTTCTACCATGTTTAAATTTCAATATGCTATACTTTAATATATCTACTTTGACTACAAATACTAAAATCGATATGCCTTCTAACAAAATTATGAGATATTTAAAATTTCCTTCTCGAAGTACCCTATTGTTCATACATAACTTACTAAGTGAAGTAGAAGATAAATATTACCCTCAGTGCACAAGTTGTTTTAGCATGCTGTGCTTTTAGTATGTTATACTTCAATATGTCTACTTAGACTACAAATGCTAAAATCCATATGTTTTCTAACAAAATTATGAGATATTTAAAATGTTCTTCACAAAGTACCCCAAAGTATTGTTCATACATAACTTACTAAGTTAAAAAAAGGTAAAAAAATTTGATGTGTAAACAAAAAACGTAGCAAATTTAATATACAAAAAACCTCTCTTAAAGAACTTTTAACCGTTTTCAGTAATTTATAAGTTATGATTAAATAAGTGTAAAAAGCGCCTCTAAAATTTTTAAAACTCATATGCGACATATTACCCAAGAATGACATAAGTGAACAATGTCCAAATTTTATTAGAGAAACATTAATTTGAAAAATTAATGTTTTTTTTTATTTACGAATTACAAAATATACATAAGCAGTATTGCATTTTAATATAAAATTATGCTAATCGTATGAAATGGTGAAAAGCAGGGCCGGAGAAAATAGAAATGTAAACAAAAAATCTCTAAATTATAAATATATAAATATGATATACATCTAAAAAATGAAGTATTAATTTACTAAAGAATGTTTAAAAATTAAAATGTAATCAATTCTGTTAATAAATTTATCGTTTTGCATGTTTATTGTGTTTTTTTTTAAATATCATATTCTTTTGTTAATATAAACATTAATTTTGTTTGATAAAATAAAATATTTTATTTTTAAGAATATGGTTAAAGATTTAAATAAAACTTTTCATATTTTATAAAATGTGGCATACTTACATCTTTGTTTTTACAATTATACTAACTTTATTCTATCATACACTATAATAATTATATCATATGCTGTTTTTATATATTCTATACTGTCCAATATTCTTTATAACCTTGCTTCTTCTTCTAACTTCTTATTTTATTCAACTCCTATCTTCTTTTATTGCTTTATTCTTCTTTCATTGCTCTATTCTTCTTTTTCTTCTACCCTTCCTTTTTCTATTACTTCATTTTTCTTTTTCTTCTATCCTTCCTTCTTTCTATTACTTCATTCTTTTTTTTCTTCTATTTTTCCTTCTTTTTCTAACAAATAATTTTATTTTATCTCAAATCAACAATTCAAATTCTACTTAACTCGGAGCATTTGCCACTTATTTATACTTCTCTCTCGGTCTCCCTCCCTTTCTATCTCTTTTTCTCTCTTTTTTCTCTCTTTTTCTCTCTTTTACTCTCTTTTACTCTCTTTTACTCTCTTTTTTTGTATTTCTTTATTTTTCTTTGTCTTTCTCTCTCTTTCTCTTTCTCTTTCTTTCTCTCTTTCTTTCTCTCTCTCTCTTTCTCTCTCTTCTAATACTGTTTCTTCTTCTACCTTCTACTTCTATCCACTTCCTATCTTCTTTTATTTCTTCATTCTCCTTTTCTTAACTTTGGTTTTTCTTCTATTCTATTTCAAATCAACAATTTTAATTCTACTTGACACAGAGCATTAGCTACTTCTTCATTCTTCTTTCTCTTTCAATCTTGTTTTTTCTCCTAACTTCTAATTATATTCAACTTCTATCTTCCTTTATTTTTTCTTCATTCTTCTTTTTCTCCTATCTTCCCTGTTTCTTCTAACTTCTATTTCTATTCTATCTCAAATCAATAATTTAAATTCTACTTAACTCGGCGCCATCTGCTCTCTCCTTCATTCTTCTCTCTCCTTTATTCTTCTCTCTCCTTTATTCTTCT